CCCCCCCGCGCGTCCGGGTGCTGAGCGCCCTCACCAGCTTTCTCTTCAGAAGCCTTTCGCTCTTCCCACGCCCAGTAGGCCCGCCCCTTAGCCTCCTCCGCACAGCCCGCCGGACCTCAGAGCCGGTGAGCGGAGCTGCGCCTCAAGCTGCCTGTCCGTCGCGGACTGGCCGAGGTGGCCCTTCGCTGTCTCCGCAGCTCGTGACCCAGTCCCGGCGGCGCGCAGGCCTCATCGGACGCGGCCCAAACGAGGCTCGCGGAGCACTGCGCAGCCCCAGTCCCCGGAGCCGCTCTCCGGCGCTTTTGCGTGACGCCCAGCCCGCCAAGCGGGTCACCGCTTCGGGAGGCGCGGGGCGGGGCGTGGGGCCGTGGGGGTCTCCATGACAACGGGAGGGCGGTGCTTGCGGCGGATTGTGACGTCAGCGGTCGGCAGTGCTGACCAGCTGGGATCCCGTTTCTAGACCTTCCTTGTGGGATACCCCGGGTTTCCCGGAGCTCTTCGCCATCCTCTGGTCCGGGGTGCGGCTTGCCAGCCTGTTAACAGCCTGGTTACACCCTGGCTGGGGCAGAGTGATCGATTTGAAAAAGAATGAGCTAGAAGCATGTGCCTGGGGTTTCATCTAGGTTATGCATTGTTACTTTTGTGCCCATTTAAGAAACGCACTAAAGCCCTGGTGTGGTAACACGTGCCTTTAATCCCAGGCAGAGGCGAGCGTTTCCAGCCTGGTCTGCATAGTGAGTTCCAGGCCAGCTGGGGCTAAAAAGACAGCCTCAGAAAGACTGAAAAGAAAAATGTAAACCAGTCATGCCTAACTTTGATCATTCCCCTTCAAAAATGAAGGCAGACGGAGGGCTGGAGAGATGGCTCAGCGTTTAAGAGACTGGCTGTTCTTACAGAGGACCCGGGTTCGAATTTCAGTACCCACATGGTAGCTAACAATTGTCCTTAACGCCATTTCTAGGGGATCCACCAACAGCCTCTTCTGTGCGCATTGCACGACACTGGTGCACTTACATGCACGCAATACACACACATAAAATAATAATGAAATATTTTAAGTTTAAAAAAAAAAAGTTTTATCTCGCTGAAACTCTACACCCACTAAACAATAACTCTCCTTTTCTACCTCCTTCCAGGCCCTGGAAACCATCATTCCCTCTTTTGAGTCTATGAATTTGATCACTTTGTTAACTTTTTTTGACACAGGATCTCACTTTGTAACCCTGACTGGCCTTGAACTCATTATGTAGACCAAGCTGGTCTTGAACACACAGAAATCCACCTGCCTCTTCCTCCCAAGTCTGGGTTTAAAGTCATGTGCCACCACACCCAGCTATTAACTTTGATTAGAAAGCTGTAGCTCAGTGGTAGAGCACATGCATAGCATGTACAAGGGCCTGGGTTTAGTACCTAGTACTGAAAAAAATTACTTTCAAAGGTGGTTTAAAACCAGCAGAACTGAGGTGGTTTGAATGAGAAATGACCCCATTAGGCTCATTTATATGAACACATGGTCCCCTCTTGGTGGTGGTGTTTGGGGAGGTTATGGAACCTTTAGGAGGTAGAGTCTTGTTGGAGGAAGTATGTCACTTGGGGCAGACTTTAATGGTTTGTAGCTTTTCCCTACTTCCTGTTCTCACTCTCTGCTTCCTGTGTGTGTGAATGAAATGTGATCACCCAGCCACCTGCTCTGGTCTCCATGTTTTCTCTGACTTAATGCCTACCCCACCATCTAGAACCATAAGCCAAAATAAACCAATTTTCTCCTCTAAGTTGCTTTTGGTAGTGGTGTTTTTATCATCGCAACAGAAAAATAGGTAATATAAGGTCCCCAAGGCTAAATTTCCATAGAGCAAATTTGAAAAACCATCAACGGATAATATAATTTCATACATTAGACTTTGACCTTCTTGCACATATTTTGAAATGTTTCAAAGGATCAAAGTTGGCTTAGAGCTTGCTATGTAGACCAGGCTGGCCTTGAACTCACAGAGCTCTACCTGCTTCTGCCTCCCAAGTGCTGGGATTAAAGGCATGCACCACTTATGCCTGGCTTCAAAATTAAATAGTCTTAAAGATACTGTAGGAATGACACAAAAATGAACAGAATCTGGACTAATGACTTTAATTAACCATGGCAAACTCACTGAACCATGTGCTCTTGTGACCCTGGGCACCTGATCTTGCTTCCTGGGAGCCTCAATTTGCTACTCTACCCCAAGATAGGGAATGATTGTGTGTATGCTTGAGAACTGACATACCACAGTGCTGAATGGCAGCACACACATCTCATTGAAAACATGAAGATTGAGAAAGGAAGCTTGACGTTGTGCATGAGATTCTAGAACTACGGATGGAAGGGCAGCAGCATCTGATAAGGTCAAGGTGGATTCAAGTTTGTAGTTCCCCAACTAAAGCTAGAGAAATGTTTTTGAGTAAAATTATTGGTGAGGCCTGACTCAGTGACACAGTTCCAGGGCACAGGTCCAAGAGACATCTGGGAAAATGGGTGACCTCTAAGTTTGGGTCTACTCTTAAAAACTAAAGTTAAGGGGTTGGAGAGATGGCTCAGTGGTTAAGAACATTTGTTGTTCTTCCAGAAGACCTGGGTTCAATTCCCAGCACCCACATGGCTGTCCATAACTCCAATTCCAGGAGAACTAAAGCTCTCTCTTAGCCTCTGCAGTCTTTGCATGAGGCAGAAGGATTCCTAGTTGAGATCAACTTGGGCTATCCAGCAAATTCAAAACTAGCCTAGATAACATACCAAAAACTTCTATGAAAAGAGAGACAGCCTGAGATTAAGAGCAATAACTGTTCTTCTAGAGGAACTGGGTTTAGTTCCCAGCACCCATATGGCAACCGTCTGTAGCTCCAATTCCAGGAGATCTGACACCCTCTTCTGGCCTCCGCAGGTTTGCACATATGGGTGCACACACATGTATGCAGGCAAAACACTCATAAAATTTAAAAAATAAAAATTTTGAGAGAGAGAGAGAGAGGTGGAGCTCCTAGCAGTTGGAAGGTGAAGACAGCAGAGTTAGGAGTTCAAGGTTGGTTTTAACTACATATGAATTTGAGGCCAGTCTCAGCTGCAAGAGACCCAATTTAAAAACAAAAACAAACCAAGCTGGGCACAGTGGTGGCACATGCCTTTAATCCCAGCACTCAGGAGGCAGAGGCAGTTGGATCTCTGTGAGTCCCAAGGCCAGCCTGGTCTAGAGAGCAAGTTCCAGGCCAGCTAGGGCTACAGGAAGACTCTGTCTCAAACAAACAACAACAACAACAAAAAACTGGTCTTACTAAGCTGTCAAGGCTGTTCTTAAATTCCTTATTTGTGGGAATGACTACCAGAACACTGTCTGGTCTGTTTATAATGTAAGCAAACTTACGAGGCCTTGGACTCCTCTTGTAATCTAAACATACAGTGTTAATCCTTCAAGACCCTTCCTTACCTTGGACCCATACATACCCATATACGTGTAGGTGTGCTGTGAAAATATTAAGTGCCATAAGCAGTGACTATTCATTGAAAGCAACAGATTATCCCATTTGTGTTTCAAACAACTGGATTAGATTGATAACATCTGTTTGTGGTTGTGTTCACTCCTCTAGGTTAGTAAAGATCAGAGGGGACATAATTCTTTGATAAGACAAGTTCCTCTTTCCCCTTGTGATGCTGGATGTGCTACAGTTTCAATAAAAGAGAGCAAGGCCTTTGTTCAAGAACACAGTTTTAGGATACATCTGAAGGGATAAGCTCTCAGAACAGTTCAGACCCATTCACACATCACTGTAATGTGGCCTCAAACTACCATGATTATGTAGTTCATATTAGCTCTGAACTCTTTCCTCCAGCATTAGTCTGCCAAATGCTACGATTATGGGTGTGTGTCACTATACCTGGCACTAAACACATTTGTAGCACAGTAATTATGATTTCAAACTTTGGAATCATTTTGCCAAATGAAAGATGTGCTAATTTCTCATAAAAGACTGTGTGTGTGTATGTGTGTGTGTGTGTGTTGATGCCCAAGCTGACCTCAAACTAAATATGTAGACAAATATGACCTTGAATTTTTGATTCTCCTGTCTATGTCTCCCCAGTGCTGGGATTACTTTGTGTATAACCACAGCTAGTTTATTTGATGCTAAGGGTTGAACCAGGGAATTGTGCATGCCAGGAATGTACTCTACTAACAGCTACATCCCCAGCCCAAAGACAGTTGAATCATTTTTTGTTTTGTTTTGTTATGTTTTGTATTGTGAGATAGGGTCCCATGGACAGTAGGCTTGCCCAGAACTCATCATGTAGCTGAGAATGTCTGTTGACTAATGCTGAACAAGACTGTCACTGAGTTACATCCAGCCCATTTTTAAGGTTGCTATTCAGCAACATGAATCACAAAAATATACATTCATTTAGGCCAATAATTCTCACTGAAGATAGCTGTTCCAACAGACATCGTCAATGCCTAGAGACATGTTTGGTTGTCATAACTGGGACAAGTGTGCTAATGGCTTAGGATCTACGCAGAGGTCAGGGACGTTCAATGTTCTACAGTGCACCAGACAGCTCCTCACCAGACACTCATCCGCACAAAATATCCATTAACACCAAAGTGTAGAAACCTTGATATGGCCGAGTCAATACTAAGCACCATGGTGTTACTGTTGGCTCTGCTAGCAAGGGCCTCCACTGAAACTTAAAAGAAGTGGTGCAGGTCCTGGGTTCAGTCCCTAGCACTGCAGGAAACAAAAGGGAACACAGGAAGGAGAAAGGACAGACAGAAACAAAGGGTTTCTCTTAATCTGCTTGCCCAATAGTGGTACACGGCTACAATCCCAGGTCTTTGGAGGCACAGACAGGGGGAACACAAATTCAAGGCCAGCCTGGGCTATATAAACAAATTCCAGGCCCATGGGGTTGCATGGTTGAAACCCTGTCTCAAAACAAGAACAAAAAACTGATTATGAGCCGGGCATGGTGACACTTGCCTTTAATCCCAGACACCTGAGAGGCTTAAGCAGAAGGATTACAAACTCAAGGTCAAGTCTGGGCAGCCCTGTGAGATTCTGTCTTAAAAACAGAGCTAAGGAGGCCGGGCATGGTGGCGCATGCCTTTAGTCCCAGCACTTTGGGAGGCAGAAACAAGTGGATCTCTGTGAGTTCAAGGCCAGCCTGGGCTACACAGTGAGTTCCAGGTCAGCTGGGGTTACAGAGAGACCCTGTCTCAAGAAGACCAAAAAAAAAGTCATGCCATTATTTATTTCTCATAATACAATTTCAAAAGAAAAAGAATTACACATTTTAAATTCTGATCAGTAGAATTGTTTTTATGGTTGAATAATGAAAGAATGAATCCCTTAGTACTTTTAAAAATGTAAGCTTACTTTGAAATGAAACACATTTAGCATCCAGTAGCAGAAATGAGCCAACATCACTGGAGACAGGATCTCTTAGGAGATCTAACCTGGGACTGTCTTTGCCATCAATCTGCAATTTGTTTTTTCCACCTACACTTTAATTGGGTGAAAAAATATATAAGAAAATCTCCATGGGGCTAGGAAAACATAGAGTAATATATGAATCTATTTTTTTTTTTTTTTCGGTCTTGAGACAGGGTCTCCCTGTAGCCCCAGCTGTCCTGGATTCACTGTGGAGACCAGGCTAGCCTCGAACTCACAGAGATCCGTCTGCCTCTGCCTCCTGAGTGCTGGGGTTAAAGGCATGCACCACCACGCCCGGCCATGAATCTATTTTTATCTATATAAAGCTTCAATGAAGTTGTATCCTGAGACACTACTAAAAAAAAATAAAACTTTTTGTTGATAGTCAACAGCTTTGAATATTGACTTTTATTTTTTAAAGCAATTACAAACTCCTTTTTATAAAAAGCTAAAAGCACAATGAAACAATAACTGTACATCACCATTTTCAAACTGTAATAATTCAGAACACAAAATAATTCAGGCAACCAGCACCTAATTTGTCCCATAGGAGGCAAAATTACCAGCACTTAGGTGGATGCACAGTCAGTGCACTGAGGTTAATGGTGTCACTATTTAGCCTTTGTCTGGCCTGGAACTCAGTATGCAAAGCAGGTAGGCCTCAAACTCGGAGATCCACCTGCTTCGGCCAACCCCCAACCCCATCCAGTGCTGGAATTGAAGGTGTGCACCACCACACCTGGCTAATGGTACATGGCAGAGCAATATTTAGAACACAGGACTTCCGGTCCTTTTGGTTTTTTTCAGACAGGGTCACAAGTAACCTGGGCTGGGCTCAAATTTGCCGTGTAGCTGAGAATGCCTTTGAACTCCTGACCTTGCCTCCACCTCCCAAGTGCAGAGATTAGAGTCCCTAACACCCATGTTAGAAGAGTTTTCTTCTTTAATTTCATTATTTCTAAAGATTTTTATTATCTGTCTGTGTATGCATAAATGTGTGCATGCAGGTGCTGGCAGAGGCCAGAAGAGGGCATCAGAACCCTCGGAACTGGAGTTACAGGCATTTGTGTGCTGCCCTTGTGAGTGCTGGGATCTGAACTCCAGTCCTCACTGCAGCAGGGCTCATAACAATGGAGGCATCTCTCCAGCCACTATCACTTCTGTGAATGTGAGGTGTGAGTCAGGCACACACATGCCTCAACAGGAGTCTGGAAGTCAAAGGACTTCTCTCCTTCCACCTCCTCCACCATGAGTTCTGGGGCTCCAGCTCAGGTGCTAGGCTTTTATCTGCCGAACCTCCCCCCCGAACAATTTATAATTTTTTTTCAAGTTTCACGAGTGCAAATACAACTTTTATATTGCTTTCAATTAACACATTTGCTGGATAGTTGACACCATGCTTAGAAATAGGTTCTATTTTTCAGAGGCTGTATTTTCTGGCGATTACTTCTATAAACAGTTCTTTTCCTTTGCTATTGCTATGCAGGGCTTACTCTACTATATGACCCACCCAAACTCCAGCAAAGAGGCTGTGAAACAAAAAATCTGTTTCTTGTTAGCAGTTGTGAAAAGCAAGTTTGAAAGCAATATGTAGAGTAGAGGATGTAATTGAGGTCACACGCTCAGTGATACAGCACTTACCTAGTGCACATCAGGTCCTGGGTTTGATCCCCAGCACCAGAAAATAAATAACTGAACAAGAAGGAGGCAGCTTTTCACCCAGCTTTCCATCTTCCCAGCTGCCCTCTCCAGGGTGGAAAAGACAGTGGCAAGACATCAAAGAAGTTAAGGAAAAGCTATTACAGAAAAATTAGAAGCCAATGAATGGTCCATGCTTCTAATTCCAGCACTAGGGAGGTAGAAGTCAGTCTGGTGTACACAGTGAGCTCCAGGTCAGCCAGGGCTACATATGGAGACCCAGTCTCAAAACGAGGTGGGGGAGGGGAATCACAACACCATGATGATATTTGTGTGTAACAAATGAAGCTTATGTATACTGTTACTTGAACTAAGACTAAGGGAGGGTAAAAAGGAGACAGGAGAGTATTTTATGCCTAAATCTTGACATAGTAAAACTATTTTGAAAAGAGGGGACTGCTGGGCCTGGTGGCACTCATCTGTAATCCCAGCACACACAGGAGGCAGAATGAAGCAAAAGGATCTCAAGTTTGGAGCCACCTAGACCACCATGGCTGCCATGCCTGACCATAAAAACATGTAGCTATTTCCTAGCTCCTGCCTTCAAAGAATGGCCAACTCAGTAACAGTGATTATTCTCAGGGCATTTGGGGGGGGGTGGAAGAAGGTGGGCTCAGACAGGGTCTCCTAAGAATGGCCAACTCAGTAACAGTGATTATTCTCAGGGCATTTGGGGGGGGGGTGGAAGAAGGTGGGCTCAGACAGGGTCTCCTGGCTCTAGGCTATCCTTGAACCTGCTATGTAGTTGAGGAAGGCCTAGAACACCTGATCCTCCTGTCTCAACCTCCCAAGTACAGGGATTACAACACGAACTACCACCCTCAGCTTCAGACCATGGGTGTGAAATCCTGTTTCTCACAGAAAGAAACCAAGCTTTATTGATTTCCATCCAGAGCAAGAATAGACAAATTCCTCAGCCTAGAGGATCTTGGCATAGGAGAGAGCAAGGGAAATAAAGGACTCAGAGTCAACCTGTGAGCAATGGCCAGAGATCAGAGAACTTGAACTTCAATAAAGTAACATTTATATTGGGAAGTCCAGTCAAATATACTTGAACACACGAGTTCATAATACTTTTATTTTTGAGATGGAATCAAACACAGTAGCCCAGGCTAGCCTTAACCCCTGACTGCTGGGATTACAGATAAACCATCATATCCAGCTAAGAATGTTTCTTATATTAACACATCAAGCTATTATTTTGCGTCTAGATTTCAGTATTTGTGCTTTATTTTAAAATTAAATACAAAGCCCTTAGGATTTCCACTAAAAATTATCAATGTGAAAATGTCTACTGTAAATATCAACAGACAGGCCTTAACAAATTACCTACATTATAAAAATATTTGAAAATTCTTATGTGTACAGTTACAAAAAGTCAAATAATTAAGTATACATTTTTTTTCTTTTTCCAATTTCTTTTCCTTTCATCATTTTATGGTCTCTTTAGCCCAGGCTGGCTTCCAAGCCACTAGATAGCCATGACTGGCCTTGAACTCTTCAGGTCCATCTCCCAAGTGTTTAGATTATAGGTATGCACTACCATGCCTGGATAAGTATGCATTTATAACACAAAATTTTATTATAGAGTTAGGTACTAGACCTTGGTTAAAATGGATTTTGTTGACTTCAGGTCTCTCCTTTCTTCTCAGATTGTTGGCTTTCCTTTATTAGAGATTAGACTAGCATGAGGATTGGAACAGATTTCAGATTTCCTTTAATATCTGTATTGGTTCTGTCTTTATATAGAAGATTGGTTGTCTTGCCTAACTATGATGGCATTCATGAACAGGTAACTTCACCCACCACATCATCAGTGTGCACCTGGAGATCCTCAACCACATACTCAGCCTGTGGCTCTTCCGTTGACTACTGGCTGATGGAGACTATTTGTGGTTGAATGTCTAAGAAACTCAGGAATGTAGAGCCAGATCTAACCCATCAAGATGAAAGCAGTTTTGAATGCAGTATAGCAAACACAAAACGTATATGATGGTAGTACATGTTACGCCATGTAACATTAAGAATTTCCCTCCAGTCACTCAAGCAGCATCTTAAATGGTACAATTGAATGGTCCCCTTCCTATTCATAAAATTATGTGGTGTTCGAGTGATTCACATATTCAAGAAGTGAGCGGTCTAACACTCTTTGGAAAAGTGCTTCCTCAATTATATCAAAATCCTAGAATAGAGAAAAATAATTAGAAATGGTCAGTAGTAGTCAACACAATGCTCTCATTTTGACAAAAACTAAAACCCTTAGTGCCATGACCTGCCCCAAGTTCCTCGGAGCCTGTCACAGAACCAGAACTTAACTCATTTCCAATTTCACACTTTATTGACCTAGCAGTTAACTAGCTATTGTCAGAGTCTTGACCTAAGTAATAGTCTACAGCAAATATTAGAAGTCCTGGTCAAAGTGCTATCTATATTTCACACACACCTAAAGTTTAGACATTCCTACCAGGGAGGGGTCTGCTCAGTGATAGAGCATTTGCCTAGAATGGGCTAGACCCTAGAGTCAGTCCCTAGCACTGGGGGACACATCCCCCTAGGATTCAGAATGCCAGAAGTCCTGTTGGTTATCTACTTATGGGGGGGGGGCGGAATAAACAAAAAGCTGTTGTTGTCTCATGTGTCAATCTGGAATTTAAACTTCCTATCAACACATGCTAGAAGTCAAACAAATGAACAAAAAATAAAGGGAAAGACTGCAAGGCTAGCCGCGGCTACATGAGACCCTGTGTGAAAGAAAGCAAAAATAAATGATTTAGTACTTATACAGTTGCGGTTTTGTTTATAGTTTAAAGAGAAGGCTGGTCTAGATTGACAGTCTCATATCTGTTGTTATACAGTCAATGTACTTTTTTGAGACAGTCTTTGTTTTGTAGACCAGGAGGGGCTAGAACTAAAAACAGTGCTGCTAAAGCTGGCCTCAAACACACATAAATAATCATGTTGGAATTACTGGTATGAGCTACCATGCCCTGCTGCTGGTTTTATTTATTTTATTTTATTTATTTATTTATTTTTTTGAGACAGTGTCTCCTTGTAACCCCAGCTGTCCTGGAACTCACTATGTAGACCAGGCTGGCCTTGAACTCACAAAGATCCACCTGCCTCTGCCTCCCAAATGCTGGGATTAAAGACATACGCCACCATGCCTGGCTGGTTTTATTTTTTTTAATAGGCCAGTTTCTCATCACATATCCCAGGCTGACCTCAAACTCAAGAGATCCACCTGCTTTTGCCACCCCAGTGCTAATAGTAAAGGCATGTATCATCAAGCCCAGCTTTTCTTTCCTTTTTTTTCTCATGTAGCCTAGGCTGGCCTGGACTCCCTACATAACCAAAGATGATCTTGAACTTCTGATCCTCCAGTCTTTAACTTCCAAGTACTGGAACTACCATGCCCTGTTTAGGTGGTGCTAGGGATGGAATCCAGGACTCCATACATACTAGGCAAAAACTTTTACAAATTTAAATGAAATCTCCAGCCCTTTGTGTACTTTAAAAAGCTGGAGAGATGACTCAGTGGTTAAGAGCACTGGCTGCTCTTACAGAGAATCTAGGTTTGGTTCCCAGCACCTACATGGAGGCTACGAACCACCTGTAACTTTAGTTCCATGGGAATTTACACCCTTTTCTGGTCTCCTTGGGCATCGCATGCTTGTGGTGGATATACATACATGCAGGCAAAAAACTCATACACATAAAATAAAAATAAGTAAATCTTTTTAGAAAGCAGTTATAAAACCCTGAGCCTTTCATTGAGCTCTGTAAGTTCACAATGTCATAAAAATTCAATGTAGGGGACTGGAGAGATGGCCCAGTAGTTAAGAGCACTGACTGCTCTTGCCGAGAACCCGGGTTCAATTCCCAGAACCCACATGGCGGCTAACAACCGTCCATAACTCCAGTTGTAGGGGATCTGATGCCTTCTTCTGACCTCCCCAGGCACTGTACAACATGAGGGTACTTACATACATGCAGGCAATACACTCAAACACATAAAAAATAAAGTAAAAAACTCAATGTAAAGGCAGGGACTACAATAAAACGCTTCCAGCTCATGATCCTCCTGCCTCAGTCTTCTGAATGCTGGACTTACAAGCCTTCACCAACATAGAAACTCAAAGAATAGTACTTTAACATTAATAATCAAAGGTATAAAGCACTCTATTTTCACAGCTGTCTTCTTAATGCCAATACTTTTTAAATTTTTATTTATTATTTTTATTTTACGTGTATGCATGTATTGCTTGCATGTAGGTAAGTGCACCCATGTTGTCTTTATGATCTTTCCTGGAATTTCTTTAAGTTGTTCTTGAGTTTCTTTTTCTTTTAATTTTTAAAAGTTATTTATTTATTTATTTATTTTAGTCTTTTTGAGACAGGGTCTCCCTGTAGCCCCAGCCGTCCTGGAACTCACTATGTAGACCAGGCTGGCCTTGAACTCACAGAGATTCACCTGCCTCTGCCTCCCAAGTGCTGAGATTAGAGGCATGTGCCACCACGCCCAGCCTAATGCCAATACTTTTAAAAATGTTTTATTATTTTTATTTTATGTGTTGAGTATACTGCCTGTATGCATGTAAGTGTACCCATGTTGTGCAATGCCCAGAGGTCAGAAGAGGACATTGGATCACTTGGAACTGGAGTTACTGGATGCCATGGACAGTTCTGAGCCACCACGTGGGTGCTGGGAACCAAACTTGGGTCCTCTGCAAGAGCAGCCAGTTCCCTTAACTGCTGAGTCATCTCTCCAGCCCCCTTAATGCCAATATTTAACACTCAACTTTCCTTGCATAATTTCATTCACTTGGATTTAAAAAGCAAGCTTCACCCAGACAACATGAGAACAATGTAAAGGGCAGAAATTATATACTTACTATGAAATCATCATAAAACAAAGTGTGGCTGACTTGCAAATGTCTAATTAAACTGCCATCAAAGGTGTTTGGGCTCTCATTGGGTAGCAGACGGCAAAGCGGACAGGACTGGAAAGAAAGACAGACCAGAAATTCAAGAAAGAATTACTAATGCCAAAATTAAAAAAAATAAGACACTGTTGAATTTGAATGTTTACTATGACTCCATTGGACATACCTCAATACTGTATTTTGTGTTTGAGTTCATGTGTGTGTGTGTTCCTGTGTGCATGTCTGTGCATGTGCATGTGGAGGCCCAAGGTCATTGTCAGATTGTCTTTTTCAACTGCTCTCCACCTTACATTATATTTTGCTGTTCTGCATGCAATGCCCACAGAGGCCAGAAGAGGGCATCAGATCCCATGGAACTGGAGTAAAGGACACTGTTGTTAGCTGCCACATGGGACCTCTGCAAGAGCAGCCAGTGCTCTTAACCACTGAGCCATCTCTCCAGTCCCTCTACTTTATTTTCTGAGACAGAGTTTCTCATTGAACCCGGAGATCAGCAGGATCAGCTGGTTGGCCAGTCCAATCCAAACCACAGGGTTAAACACTATCACTGTTGCTTTTAAGGGGAGTGCTGGGGATCAGAAGTCAGTTTCTCATGCTTGTGAAGCAGACACCTTACTTACCAAAGCATCTCCCAGCCCTGTTTGTCTTTTTGAGAAAGAATCTCCTGTAGCCCAGGCTAGCTCCTGATTCACTGTGGCCAAAGCTGGTCTTAAACTCCTAATCTTTCTCCCCCATCTCGCAAATTGTGGAATTAAATATAGGCACGCACTACCATTGAAAATGTGCTTACTTCTTCATCAGCAGTTCTTTTTAAAAGATTTGGTTTTGGGGGTTTTTTGGTCATTTTGAGACAGGGCCTCCCTGTAGCCCCAACTGGCCTGCAACTCAGTATGTAGACCAGACTGGCCTTTGAACTCACAGAGATCCACCTGCCTCTGCCTCCCAGGTGCTGGGATTATAGGCATGCTCCACAATGCCCGGCCTCATTATTTTTTGAGAAAGGGTCTCACTGTGTAGCCCTAGGTGGCCTGGAACTCACTATATAGACCAGGTTAGCCTCAAACTCATAGAGATCCGGCCTGCCTCTGCTGGGATTACAATCATGGATCACCATGTCTGGTTTATGTAGTACTAGGGATGGAACCCAGGGCTTCCTGCGCGCTACAAACAGCCCAGAGTTAATTTACAGATGATCAAAAGTCAAACAGTCACAGGTAAATCAGTTAGCACCACTTGGGGGCAGGGGCGCTGCGCTAGTCACTGAAAGGACTCTGTTATCATCTAAACATCTCATTAGCTCAGTATTACTGAACAGCCCAAGTATACTACTAAACAATAGAAATGCTGCTGTTTGTCTCTGATGGATAAACCTGGGGTGGAACAGAAGCAAAGAAGTTTTGAAATTTTTTGCTGTAAGAAAAGTACTATTAGGCTGGGCGTGGTGACACATGCCTATGATTCTAGCCCTCAGGAGATGAAGGCAGATACAAAAGCAATTTCTCTGCCCTGGATGGAGACCTAATATCCCAAACTACCCAAAACAAAAAAAGAATTAATCCAGTTGGACTGGTCAAAATCGGTCACCTAGCCAAGGGACCAACCATCAAAACGGTCAGCTCACTCTAAGCCATGTCTGACGAGAAAGGTAGCATAATTATCCCTTGAATTGAGATACTTCCCAGAATTCCCACCCCAGCACTGTTCCTAAAGTCACCATGAGGTTCTACTGGATCTGCCCACCAGCAAGGCACAGCTCTCCCAGCAGAACTCTCTCTCCTTTACATGCCTTTTTTCTTTCTTTTTTTTTTGGGGGGGTGGGGATTTTTGAGACAGGGTCTCCCTGTAGCCCCAGCTGGCCTGGAATTCACTGTGTAGACCAGACTGGCCTTGAACTCACAGAGATCCACCTGCCTCTGCCTCCCAAGTGCTGAGATTAAAGGGGTGTGCCACCATGCCCAGCCACATGCCTTTTCTTTAGCAAGCTACCCAGAGCTCAAGTGTGCTTTTTCTGGTACTTTGGGCTTCCTTACTGTTCCTCTAAAGCTCCTTCCTGACAAGCAGTGGGATGGGCCACCACATCCAGCTTTTTAGGTGCTTTACCTGCTCAGCCATCTCCCTAGCCAGTGTTTGTTTTTAGTTTGGAGGACAGAGTGTCACTGTGCAGCACCAGGTGGCATGGGACTCTCCATCGTCCTGTCTTAGCCTCCTAAGTGCTAGGATTAATTAAAGGCATGTGCCACCATATCCTGCTAAATGCCTCCCCTCCATGCTGGGAACTGAACCCAAGGCCTAAGTATATGAGTCAGGTGTTCTTCCAGCATGCTAAACCTCCAGCCTAATCAATGCAATTTCTTCACTCTTTCTAATTTTTGCAAGATATTAAACTTCCATTTAAAATGAAAGTATTTTGCCTGAAAATGAGCCCTGTTTTTGCCATGTGCATGCCAGGCAAGCACTCTACTACTGAACCACATCCCAAAGTAAAGAGGCATTGCCCTCACTTAGCATGGGCAAGTCCCTGGGTTCTGTCTCTGCAAACACAGACAGACAGACAGACAGACAGACACACACACACACACACACACACACACACCCCTTAAGTGTAATAATTTTTTAAAATTAAAAATATAGATTCTAATGAACCTTTTTGTTTCTTTGGAGGGGGGAAGACAGTTCTTACCTTATGGCCCAGGCCAGCCTCAACCTTGCTCCTGCCTCTCCTGTGAAATGCTAAGATTATAGGTATCAGTCACCATTCCTAGACACTAATGTACCTTAAATTCAGACACTGTAGATTAGACAGATAGGTAATAGACAGACAGACAGATGATAGATAGATAGATAGATAGATAGATAGATAGATAGATAGATGACAGATAGATGACAGATAGATGATAGATAGATAGATATAGATAGATAGATAGATAGATAGATAGATAGATAGATAGATAGATAGATAGATATAGATAGATGATAATAGATGATAGAATCCTTACCACAGGCCTCCTTTCTGATCTGTGATAGGTAATACAGTGATCCAGCAAGCTGTCTTCATCCAGTTCCCTCTGACAGAATGGACACACACACCTGAAAATTGCACAGAATTACAAACAACTACTAAAACTGGCGGCAGCTAGAGATGAGCCACTAACTACAGCTTTAAAACACAGAATGTACAGAATGTGGGGGTGTCTGGTACTGGTACCTTTTTCTTTTTTTTTCTTTAATTTTTTGAGGCAGGTTCTTACTATGTAGCCCAGGCTTCTGTTAACTCCTTGACTCTCTTTCTAAGTGCTGGAATTACAGGTGTTTACCACCACACCACACCTAGTTTTTGTTTGTTATATTTTGTTTTTTTGGTCTGTTTGAGACAGGGTCTCCTGTAGTCCCAGTTGGCCTGGAACTCACTATGTAGACCAGGCTGGCCTCGAACTCACAGAGATCTGCCTGCCTTTGCCTCCTAAGCGCTGGGATTAAAGGTGTGCGCCACCATGCCCGGCTTTGTTTTGTTTTTTAACACTTGAGCAGTAAGAGTTTTTAACTGCTAAGCCATCTCTCCAACCTCCTGGCTTTTTTATTTATTTACCTGTTTATTTATTTATTTTTATTTATTATTTTTTAATGACAGGGACTTGCTATGTGGCCTAAGCTGGCTTCAAGTTCACAGCAACCCATCTGCCTCACCTTGTTGGGATTGCAGACATGTACTCCATGCTTGGCTGGGTTTTCTAAGATTTTTTTCATTATTATTTTATGTGTTAGTGCTTTGCCTATATGTATGCATGTGCACCTGATGTGTGCACAGGGTCCATGAAGGCCAGAGGGCAACAGAGCTGCCAGGTGTATGTTGGGAACTGAACCCTGGTCCTCTGCAAGAGCAGTAAGTGCTCTTAACCATCTCTCCCTTGGCTGTTCTTTGTTTGGTTGGTTGGTTGGTTGGTTGGTTGATTGGTTGGTTTGATTCATTCTCACTGTACAACTCAAGCTCTCCTCAAACTTACTATGTAGCATGGGCTGGCCTTGTACTGGTGACCCTCCTTCTTTGTCCCTGAGTACTGCAATTATAGTCATGTGCCACCAAACTCGGCTTCAAAATTCTTACATATGTAATTCTAACCAGCAGAAGAAATAGGAATTTAAGTTAGTTTCCAAATATTTTAAACTTTTCATAAGTCCATCAACTTGCAATGAAAGCCACATGCTTTCTCAACCTGTTTGTTACCCTTCCTTCCTTCCTGCTGGTCCCTGTACTCAAGCTAGCAGAATCTGCACTCTGCTAACAGCAAAAATACTCATAGAAAATTCATGGGCATCATTTATAAAACAAATCCTACAATAGCAGGTACTTTACCAAAGCAGCCTCATAAAACAAAAGGATCAAAGTGATCATTTAGACTTTTATATTAAAAAACACTGAGGTCTCAGCAGTTAAGAGCACTGACTGCTCTTGCAGAGGACCCAGGTTTGGTTCTCAACACCCACATGGCGGGTAACAACTGACTAACTCCCTCATGGCCTCCACAGGCATTGCATGCAGGGGTGCACTTAGGTACATGTAGGCAAAACACTCGAAACATAAAAATAAAAAATAATGCTGGGCATGCCAGCGCACACGTGTAGTTCTAGCACTCAGGAGGCAGAGGCAGGGAGATCTCTGTGAGTTCAAGGCCAGCCTGGTCTACATAGCAAGTTCAGGCCAGCTGGGGCTACAGGGTGTTCTTTTTTCTCAAAAAGAAGCCCCCTCCAAAAAAGGAAACTCCAATTTGTGTGTGTGTGTATGTGTGTGTGTGTGTGTGTGTGTGTGTATGTGTGTGTGTGTG